GCAAACTTCTGAACAAAATGAACAGAATTTACCCAGCCTGGAAATAATTTTCAATGAAGAGATCTGTTTAATTTTATGTTCTACTAGCAGTACTCACACCCATTTCGTTTATAATAAAGGAAAGCAGATTGCCATCAAAATAATTGCTATTACTATTTATTAGCATTTTCTGACATTATACCTAAGTTCAAGTCTGGTAAAACTGCTTATAAACAAATTAACCTATGCCACCAGAATGAGCTACTCCAGTAACAATGCCTTACACACTCTCTCTGTCAAATAAATAAAAAATATCTTTAAAAAAAAAAGAAAAATTAAAACAAACAAACAAACAATGCCTTACTCACTACAACTGCTCAATTAAATCCTTAATGGCATAAACCTAAACCTTCTTTCAGAAGCTTCCCACCAATTTGGCACATACCAATCTGATCTTCTGTGACTCACTTTTTCAAGAATATGAAAGAGACACTTCTACTACCATGCTATGAACCACAACCCAAATTTTATGATTCTAGAAAAGCCTACTTACAATACTTACATTCCATTAAGTCTGTAAGTTGCAAAAATTAAAATTAGTTTTCACTAGCGGAAGGAGAGCAAACTGAAGCTAGTCTAGATGCGATTTCAACCTAAGATGTTCAACAGTGTTGGACAAGGGTTCACCTCAGACTGACAGGCTCACACCCATACAAACAAATCTTAACCAGTTCTTACAGGAAATAAAGATTAAAAGGAAAAAAGTCACAACCACCATTGAGTTTCAAATTTAAAAAAAAAAAAAAAAAGACAGATGCTTATGAATACTAAAAACACATCACTGGCAACTGCCTGTATCATTACATGTTAGTCACCAGAAAAAGAGATCTTCTGAAGTACCCGTGGCAGTAACACGACTGTTGTTTTCCAAACAGTTTCAAATGTAGTTAAGTCTTAGGATAAAGCACAGTCACAACCTAAGCACTAGTCTGGAGCACAGACTTAGCTATAAATTATGCAACTTCTTACTGCTTCACACCAAGACTTCCTACTCCGCCTCTGCTGACAAACCAGACGTTGTTTCTTACACACACCTCTGGGTAACAGGAGTCACATCACTTCTGAAGATTACTCAGAATATTAAAAACATAACATATTCACCTTTAATAAAGCAAATGTGAATGTACGTACAAATTCTAGGTTCTATTTTCCCATCAATACCAAAAGAAGATAATGAACTCAAATTACTCCTAAAAAACTGACTTTAAGGACTATCTCATAAAGCAAACGGGTCAACTACTTGAACAGTTTCTGTATTTAGGTGTAACCTTTATGCAAAAGAGTAACACATGAAAATAAAAATCTCTAATAGCCTAAGAGATCATTTCACCACATTTTTAACATGTATATATCCCACATTTTGTCAAGAATAAAGGTATACGGGGGTGACTGGGTAGCTCAGTAGTCAGTTAAGCTTCTAGCTTAGGCTGGGGTCCTGATCTTCAGGGGTCCTGGGCCAGAGTCCCCCATCAGGCCGCCTGCTCAGCGGGGAGTCTGCCTCTCCCTCTGCCTCTCCCCCTGCTTGCACGAGCGCACGCTAAGTAAAATCTTAAGAAAGAAGAAGAACAAAGTCATACAGAAAGAAAGTCATATCTAACACTTTCTCGGCAAAATATTTATTGAGCACCTACCACAATGAAAGACATAACAATGCTTAAAAAAATAAAATTCTAAGCTCTCACTCCCATGTAATCAGTGAGGGAAACAGAAACCAATGGCTATAATAACAAGACTGGGATACGTTAAACAACAGAACTCCAAAAACCAAGAGGGAGACCTTTGGGTAATGAGAGAAGCCTTCTGATGAAGCCTTGGGAAGTAAAGATTAGCAACAAGCACTAGGCCATAAGAAATAATCAGAAGTCCCTAAGAGAAATAAAGACTTGGCATTAAGAAAACAACAGGACTAAAAAGCTTTAAGCAGCTTTTATTAGGAGCTATAGTTTTCCACAGTAATCAAGATCTTAATTCAACTTAACAATAATGTCCTAGTGATAAAATATCAACAGTAAATTTAAATCAAATCTCACTTTACAATTCCTAAAGAGTCTAGGACCCAAGTGAGGAAAGGGCTGAAAAATACTCAGTTACAAAATATAACTTGTTTTTCTTTGGAAGCCCTCCTTTTAACATATAAACGTGATTATGAAGGAAAAAATTAAACATAACCAGGTTGATTAGAACATATTCTAATTTTCTTAAGAAGTAAATATAATCCAAAAAGCCAAAGTTTATCATCTTACTGAACACGGAAACCACAGAATTATCAGTGGTTATCAAGACTGCCTGAAACCACGAAACACAAGTGATTTAACATAGTTAAAAAATTTGATGACAGATTACGATGACTGTATCCTCCCCCCCAAAAGCAAACAAAAGAGAATTAAGCCACAACTATAATATAGATACATAAAAAGATTATCCAAATATTTAAAAATAAGGCTTAAATCCTACTCCTACAAATCAGATTCTGTAGTAAAGTTGTTTAACATCTATAGAAAATAATAACGGCCTGTATCACGCTTACATTCTCATAGAAAGCTAAGGGAAGCCATCTGTGATGCCCCAGTAAAGTAAACACTCGTCATCAGGCAGTACACACTTTGAGACACACGTTTAGGTGGAGCAAAGAGAAACCATGAACCTTGAAACACTGGTTTAGAGAATTCCTGACGTGGAGGCTACTCACAGCATCATGAAAAATACAACCTGCTCAGTGTGAAGCTGGACCTGCAAGACCAAAGGACGTTTAACAGGACGCAAGGTTCTCCGGGGCACGGAGCACTAAGGGTGCACTAGTTTCTATGAAAAAACTAATATAAGTAACATCAGACATGAGAAAAACAAAACGAAACAGTTTATTCCATTAGGCACAGCTTTCCACGTATTTCCGGACAATCGTCTCTCAAGAGAGATCAAGCGTTGGACGGGGAGGAGAGCGACTGCACGGAATTCACAACCCTTTGCGAAACCGGTCCTTCACATCCGCTGTGCTTCCAGACACAGGCCCCGCAACTTCTCTCCGGCCAACAGCGGCTCTCCACGTGACCAGCCAGTTTTAAGACCTACTAGTGTCGCTAAGAAAACAGAGAAAAGGGTTCAATGGACTGCTTAAAAATGTAATTTTTTGAGACCAATTAACTATAATCTGTTTCTGATTTACATTTTACATGCCAACTCAACTGAAATCCCACAGTACACTGAATGATCTGTTACTAAGTTGAGAAAACACTCCCTTTCTCAACCCGGCTTGGGAAATTTCTCAAAAAGCAAGTATAAATGGACTCACTGAAGCAGAAAACAAAGCAGCCAGCACCACTGCGTACTTTCCGTCCCCGTCCTTCACACCGGAGATAGCCGCGTCCCGGCCTCGGAAAGACGACGGCGCGCACCACCGTCCGAAGGCCGCGAACACGCCCAGAACCGGCCAGGCGCGTGGCCGCCGCGCGGGCCGGACCCGGTCACCTGAGACGCCGAGCGGCGGACGGGGAGCGGCGCGCGACCGCCGGAACGGGCAGCCCACGCCCGAGAGCCGGCATCGGCCGCGCACCCCGGACGGACCGGGGCCCAGCACCGGCCGCGGAAGCCTTCCCAGCCCAGCGCGGCCCAAGCCGCAAGCGTGGCGCCAGCGTCCCTCCGGCACGCAGCCGGGCCGGACAACAAAAGGAAGAGGCTCCGGGACAACGTTCCCATCCGGCCAACAACACGGGTGCGTGCAGGCCGGCACCGGGGCAAACAACTCGGACCGCACCGGGGCCCCCAGAGCCGACGGGACCAGGTGCCACGACAGCCACGTCCCGGCGCAGGTGCGCGGCGTGCGGCCCAAGTTTGCGCAACGGCAACTCGGCGACGACGCACGACCCGCTCCGGCTGTCCGCCGCGCCGGCCCCTCCTCTCGGCCCGCGCCGCCGCTCCCAGCCCCCGCACCCCGACTCCAGCCGGTTTTCTAAAAACCCTCGGAACTCTCCGGGCAGCTTCGCTATAAACAACTGCCATTGTCCTAGGCCCCGAGCAAGCGCGATTTCCTCCTCCACTCGCGAGCACGCCCAGGGCTGGCCGCCCCCAGGCGAGGCCGCGCGGCGGGCCCGGGAGCAGCGGAGGGGCGCGGGCGCCGTCCCCGGCCCTCTGCGCGGCCCCCGGACCCCCCGCACGGCCCCCTGGCCCTCGGAGAGACGCCCGGCACGGCCCCCGGCCCCCGCCCGCCCCGGGCCCCTTCCCCGCCCCCAGCCCCCCGGACCCCCGGGCCCCGCCCCCGCCGGCCCCCGCCCCCGCCCCCGGCCGGGTCACCGCGGACGCCGGGGCCGGCGCGGCGGGGGGAGGGGCGCGCCGGCTCCGACCCGGGCTGCCGGCGACGAATGGGAGGACGGCTCTCCCCGCGCCGGAGTTCAGCCCCGGCGGCCTTATCAGCAACCGCGCACAATCACAACTTTCCTGATGTTTGCTCGGCTCCCGCGGCCGCCAACCCCCAAGTTTCAAACCCACTGGGGCAAAACACCGCCGGTCACATGCTCCCCGAGTGACAAAGGTCCGCGGAGCCACAGCCCCGGGCGGCCGCGCACCCCGCGCCGCAGTCGGGGCACAGCGCCATCAGGTCACGCCCGCCGCCCACCGCACGGCCTCCCGGCGCAGACCCCGGCCCGGCCCGCGGCCCCCGCCCCCCGCCCAGCCGCCGCTCGCCTCCGGGCCGGAGACCTCGCTCCCCGCCCGCGGCCCCGCCCCCGCCCGCGACCCCCGCGTTCGGCCCGCGACCCCGCCCCCGATGCCGCCCCGGCCCGCGAACCCCCCGCCCCGCGCCGCACACAGGTGACCGCGCCGCGCCGGCTCGCCGCCCGCGCGGGGCCCCCCGGGTCCTGAGGCGCGGAGCGCGGCCCCGGGGGCGGGGTCGGAGGGGGGGTCCCCGCGGGGGCGCCGCCGGCCGGGAGGGGCAGCGCGAGGGGCCCGGCGGGGGGAGGGGCGCTCACCTCGGTGGGCTGGCTGATCTCGAACAGGTCCAGCCGGTTGGCGTTCCAGTGCCGGATGATGTCCGCCAGCTTCCGCCGCTCCTCCTCGCGGCCGCCCGCCGACATCCTCCCGGCCGCGCTCCTCGGCCCGCGCCGCCGCGGGGGTCGGGGCCGGGCCGGGTGCGACCGCGCGCGCCCACAGGTCCGCGAGCCCGGCTCTCCCCGCGCTCGGCCGCCCCGCGCCGCGCCCGGGGCTCCGCGGGCTCCGCCGCCGCCTCGGGCTCCCGGGCTCCCGGGCTCCCGGCCGCCTCGGCCGCCTCGGCCGCCTCAGTCGCCTCAGCCGGCCCGCCCCGCGTCAGCCCCGCCGGCCGGTGTGCGCCCGAGCGCCCGCACGCG